AGTGACAGCTCATATGCTAACATTGATTCCTAGACAAGACAGAGAAATAGGAAGAATGAGAGCACAACCAAGAGTAAAATAATCTTGATACTCAAAAAGAAAAACACCAAAACACTAAACTACCAAACCAACAGATAATGAAAACATTCATAAGCAGCGAGGAAAAATATATTAACTTCCCTAACTGTTGAGACTAGATATACATCAGAAGATATGAAGAAATAAAAAAGTTTATTTGTCTGCACTTAAAAAGATACTCTGGATCAAAAACCCAGTGCTTCCCTTATGCCCTGAAGATGAAATATACAAGCAGGACAATCTCTTCAGGTATTCTGTTTAGCAGTTGGACAGATGAATACAACAGGAAAGATACTACAACAAAGGTACAACGACTGAAGGAGTGGCGCAATAGAGAGGTGCTATAAAGGAAGGGAAGATTACTTACCTGTATCAGAAGATTCCAGGTTCACAGGAGAAAGCTTCACTAAAGAAAGATCTCCAGAAAGAGATCCTGCTGTAGCGGCAGTCAGCCCTCAAATGAGGTCTGACAGAGGTGCAGCCAGGCTGCACCCCTTCCTGTCACACAGGTAAATTGCCTTCACCTGTGCTCCCAGGGCTGACCAGGTCTTTTCTCCAGGTGCTCAATAAGCAGCTCAGGACGGAACTCAGCACTTCCCATACATCTGCCTAGAGCAGAAAGATGCAGTAATGCTGTGTATTGCCTCAACAACCATGAATAAAGCTGGGGGTTGGAGCCATGTTTTAGATTGAACGTGCTGGTGAACTAAACGTGGTGTAGATTGAATGCTGAAATTGAGAATGATGGTAGTTCCTGTATGTCAGGCATTTGGCTTTGCCTACTCTGCTCCATTGGGATTGGGCCCAAGGACAGTCCAAAAGAGATGTTCTCCTTAACCTGTGCTGTTTGGATGCCTTACCAGTGTGAAGACAGTTGTGGTCTCACACTTGCTAAATGCCTTCTGACTTTCCATCATGTTATTTCAGGCTTATCTAGACAGAAGTTTGGGTTAATTTTTGTCTTAATTTTTGTTTTTCAGCATGGAAGTCTTGGGGTTCTCACTAAACAAGGTCCCTGCCTGTGGACCAACATTATTGGACCTTCTAAACCTTATTTAATCGAAAACCACCCGATGACTTCTCTGAAGAGAGATCTATTGTTGGCAGTCACTGTTTGGATCAGACTTCTTAACAACATACAGCTGTACAGCTGTGCAGCACAGCTGGGAGTGGGAAATCCCTGCAGGGACTTCCTTCCCACTTCTTACTGATCAGACTGAAGCATTTATTTTCCTTTTCACTAAAGAGAGGAGAAGTATGGTACAACATGAATCTGTTGCTGCTGCACCTTTTGATGATCTGCAGGATGCTAATCCCTCCCCTAGTAAACAGTGCAGCAGCTTGATCCTGCATTGTGCTGAGCCTTGCACACTGCTGAGCATCCTGCACAGTCCTATTTGAGAATAGGCCCTCACATCATTCTGTGAGTTCTTTTGTGATTGATCTTCACATCAGACCATGCTTACACGATCACACACTCAGACCAAGCCTCTGCTTTGCACTTCTGCCCAGAAACCTGCATGACTAAAGTGATCCAAACTGCACAGCTACTTCAACATCTATGTTCAGGATTTGTTCTTCTTAACTCTCTTCTAACAAAGCTTTGTTCAAAGATGATTAACAGATGCTGTCATTAAAAAGTTGCCACTTTCCAACAAGCACATGGATCTGCTTGAAATCTAATGTTTCTCCAGCCTTCCCCAAGAAGGGACAGTTGTGATAACTGGTAAGGCCTGACAGAGCTTGACGTGCTCAAGTACCTCCTACCCCACCTAACGTGTTGAAAGGCTGCTGGCTTCTGGAGAGGGTGCCTCTCTTGTCTGTATGAAATCAATCGCATAAGCACATATGATACAGGATAGATAATGCAGCCCACTATGATTACAAGTGGCGATTTTTTTAGATAATTATGATTTTGTCTAGGAAAGTTTTATTGGTAAAAAAAGCAAAAAAAAGCATTAAATAATATGCACAGAAGTGTAGACATTAAACAAGGAACTGAAACACAGACTTTAACATCCATTGTAAGGTGCGCTGAATATAGAGTGTGCGCACAGCAAACAGTGCACACCAAATAGGGACAGGGATCACACTGAGCACCTGGCTGGCACACAGCCACTCCACCTGGTGCACATTGAAGTTCCAAACCTAGAAGACAGACTCCCTCTTAGTAGCTGGAAAAAGCAAACTGTAGAGATGGCAACATACCCTGTCCAGAGGGATCTTTCAGTAGTTCTGAAGAGATGTTTTGGTGATGGCAGCCTTGCTGTTGGCAAAACTGCCAACTTCTTGTCAAAAGGATTTTTTTTCTCAGGAAGGTGGGAAGGAACTGTTCAGTATGTTTTCAGAAACTATTTTAAATGATTCTGAATCTTTTGCTGTGCTTAAAGCAGAACTCAACACATAAATTGTAAGTCTCATTTTTGTATAGGTTTCAAAGAAATTATAGATGTAGGAAATTTGCACTGGATTCTGAGTCCAGTATTTCTGAATTTGATAATTGTTTTCCTTCTTTTCCGTTTTCCACGAACTTGTTAAAAACATCGTTGCTCTGGCAAAAAGCCTATGTTTTGAAAGGATTTTTATTCCCTTCTTATTCCTTTTGTTCCAGCATGTGACTCCAAGTTACAGCATTCACTGATGAGATGGTGGCACTGCGCAGCTCCAAGACCGCTGCAGTCAGTAAGAATATTCCCACTGACTTTTCTGAGCTTCACATCAGGGTTTTATTTGGGATTTAGCTTTAGCCTCAACTCACGTCTCAATTTACTGTGCATTTAAAGTGAACACAGAATAGCCAGTGTTGGCATGTTCCGCTTCTACAGAACAAGTCAGATGAACTGACAGCTTTTAAGTTTAGGAAACATAACAAATTCACAGGATATACAATGAGAAACATCATCTTACAGACATGCAGCAAGAGGAAATGCAACTAATCCAATCCAGTGTTTATTTCTTTAACATTCTATTAAAGCAAAGAAGTTCTATAATGAGATTACTCCATTTTATCTCTTAATTGTATCCAGATATGCCAAACGTATTTACTGCTAGTGGCTTGTACACTGTATAGCATTTTAGAGCTAATTATGAAACAGAAGTACTATTGCTGCACAATGAAATATTCTTACTGTTATGAATCAATACTATTTTCTACAATTAATTGTGATTTCTTTTTTAATTGGATATAAACCCTACTAAACTATGAAACAGATATTTGTATAAATATAATTCTTTTAAATCCAGGATGATATCAACATAGAATGTTTTATTTAAAGAGATTGCCAGCAAAAAGGAAAAAAGAGACATTACGCATTTCCTTTATTTACCATTATTAAAACCAGCAGCAAGCCTAGTCTTGAAAGCTTTCAGGTTTTATTTTTGAACATCTGAAATCTACCATTGTGCATAAACATGCACACCCATCCTCCCCAAGCAGTGTATTTATAGTTTAATTGTTCATTAAAGAGTGCTTAGCACCTGGCTATTGTTTGTATCATACCACATAGAGAGGAAAGCACATTATTTATAGTATTTACACTCACAGATCTCTAGGGGCTGAAATACTTAGCAATCTTTTAATTGCTCATATATAAAACACAACCAAAAATGAAAAAAAAAAAAAAAAAGCTAAGCAAATAGTTTTAAAATAACATTGCACCAAAGCTCTTCTGTTCAAAAATATGGGTGAATAGGCAGTGAGAATCCCAACCTGATCTGTTACTCACAGCTACTTAAAAATGTTAAGAATCATATCTATGTAATAATACCTCATTTACCTTGATTATATAGCCCAACAACATATACCATATTGTAGGTATTTATAACCTGGTACTGTAAAAAAAACTGACACTCTGCACATATTTCAGAATACACGCTTAAGCTCAGTTTTCCTGAACAAATACTCATACCAGGAACAACCAAATTCCTGAATGCAGCCAACATCAAATCTAGTTTGTGAGTCCTACATGAGTATGGGATACTTTCTTTCACTCTACTTAGTGGTAAAAAGATAAGCTGCAGGCATGTGTTTATCTGTGCTGCATGAAATAGCAGCTTAAAGCTCACCTGCGTTTTATCTCACCTTAATGAGCACTGTGTTTCAACACACATTATTCAACACATGTTATGCTCGTATTTCACATATTTGTTCATTCAAATGAAAATACATTTACATAAGTTATCAATAATTAATACAATTACACTTTGATGACCTGATATGAATCAGAACTTCCAGATAAGACATATAAGTAATTTCAACTGTTTAGAAAAAAACACTGCACTTCTTGATGATTTATTACAGTAAGAAATTACCTATTAAATTGCCAGTATTTTGGTGGAAGTTAGATTGTGATGCTGATTCCAAGCTTGATGACATATCAGTCAAGTACTTACCAGAATAAATATTGCAGAATACATATCTGAGGCTATCGCAACATTTTATACCAGGATAATCTTTATCCAGCTGCTCAATACCACTAAAACAGTACTTCAGGTATTTTTACAAGAACATATACTTTCAGCAAAATTCTCTGTGGATCATCCTTCAGTATAATTACGCAATCAATCAACATCTATGTTAACACTTAGTGCAGTCTACACGGGCATTAATATTCTATTTATTTGAAGTGCCCACAGGAACTAGGAAAGATTTTCCAGTATTTCTATGATCCAGACAGATCCTTGCAGAGATTTTTCACTCTCAATTTAAGTCTCTTATCTGCAGGACAAGTGTTAAATTGTTCTGCATTACTACCTGTACCATTCTAGTTCTACTGCAGTTGTTCATGTATTACGATTCAAATTCTTTGAATTCAATAGGAATTTGTCAGTAACTCAAGCACTGCAAACCTTAGCTCTGTCCACCTAACTGTGACACATAGGAATTTCTAAACTCTGTATGTGTCCACAGAAAATGCACTTACCTGCTGTGTGAATCCTGTCACCAGATCCTTGGCAGCCATCCTCATCATCACAGTCCCCGCTTGTCTCCAACTCTTCACTTCTTCCTCCCCCACTGCCAGGATCTCGGGAAGACCATCTTTCCAGTTTTAATTTTGCTTTCTCGGCATCCAGCTAAAATGAAAGAGCAAAGAATCAAAAGCTCCTGCTTCTAGTGACCAAGCTGGATTGCTGGGTTTACAAAGCAACAAGCATGTTCACATTCTCTCCAGAACTGCTACTCACATCATAGATTGATTCTAGCAGTACTGTATTTTTGTATTTTTGGAGTAAAAGACTACACCATCAAAATATATCCACCACAGAGGACCCCCAACACTTACCGTCCAACTTTTGATTGTAAACACCACATCAGCTTTGTGTTAGCTCTGCCCCATGGCATGACAAGGTACGGTTAAAACCTGTTACTCCTGTTACACCAGTATATCTTAACCAAACGAGAAAGACTTTGTAGCACTGTTTGAAGCTGGTCAGAACTGCCCAATAGCCTCTATCACACACATTTCTCGTAAAAGAGAAAAGTGCTGTAGATACATTTGAGACTTTGTGATCCGTTTTAGCCCAGAGAAATGTGATTATCTCTGGTGCTGAGGGAAACACATTATAAAATGTATTTCCTTTGAAGGTTCAAGCAGATTTCACACTAAAAAGGAGATGGGCTGTGAGCTGCAGGAACTGGAGCATAGACTAACACAATTGGGCTGGATGGATGGCAGCGAATGCAGCCATTTCTCTGCAATGGGAAGATCTTTGGGGTATTCTTGTTGTTCTTCAGATGCCTTGAGCTGCCATCCTCCACTCCGGGGATGATAAGTGCTTGGAGAACTTGTAGAGCATGGCAGAGACCCTGATCTACAGACACCAACTTCTTTATGGCAGAACTGAGGATTTTTTTCACCCTTTCACTGAAAAGATCTGTTTGCTCACTCTGAAGATGCAAATCACTTTGCACTGCAGTGGGAAGATCAGTAAGTGAGAGGATAGGGTATGGATTTCAGTGGGAAAGAGCATCAGAGACTGTTTAATTGTTACTGCATGCCTGTTTTTTTAAAAAACAAGTTGACTAATGCTGAGCCTTGCTATTCATTGGTATCTTGACTGATGTCATGACTACACAAAACAATATTTTGTTAAACAATGAGAAAAATTTGCCTACGAGGGAGAAAGGTAACTCAGTTCTTTCACAGATTTCTCATGTCCTCATTGTATTAGAGAACAGTCATTCATTCTTAGTTACAATCTTTCACAATGAAAAGAAATGGCTAAGTGGTGAATGGAACAGATGTAATATTTAATGAAGGTTTTTAATGATTGCTTGCCAGTAGAGCAGAAATGTTTATTGCCTGTTAAGGCAATCTTCTTCTCAAAAATTTTACTTCACTCAGTGTTCACGGGTCAATCTGACCCCTGACCAAAACAAGTAAATACTTGAACCAAGTGTGTACCACTTCTGCAAAAAGACCGAGAAAAGCTCAGCTTTCCAACACGGCGCACCTGCAGCACTTCACATACTTCCGTGTTCTTAAGGCCTGCACAACAAAAAGAGATTAAACACAGTTGAGATCTGCATCTCCCCTTTGCTATTCAAAGTTGACCCAGATCTTCCTTGGCTTGCCACTATGGAGGCAGGCCAAATTAGACAGAACTCTGATGCAGAAGCACAATATCACAGCTCAAAACCAGCTCCAATGCAACCTACTTACCTTTCCCCCTCTTACAGCACTTCCCAAATCTTTTCAATGATTTTTCCATCAACAACTTTTGGATCTATGATTACCATTAACCAAGAACAACAAACCAGAGCCCAACTTTGTGCACACATACTGGCTTATACATAAATAAACACATTCCAGGAGGTGAAGCAGTGTGAGTTAGGAACATTTGTCCCTTGACAACTGCCCCATGATGTTAGTGAGAGCACTGATTCAGTGTGACAGCTAAGCATATACTAGCCTTTCTCCTTTTCTTTTCTTCATAGAATCAGAGACACCCTTCTCAAAGCCCTGAGATTGCACTGAGACAGCACAGGCTGTGTCAGGATCAAATAGGGTGCTGATGCTAAGAAAAATCATAATAGAAAGATGTCCTTTACATTTTTTTCAGCTCTACAAGGTCTGGAAGATGACCGTGGACAGGGAATGTCCTTAATACACACTCTAACACTGCTATCCATGTTCAAGGCCTCTTCAGAGGCAGCCATGACCTGCTGAAACATGCCAACAAATCTTCAAGGGGAGAGAGAAGCCCCTAGAGCTTCCAGACTGCCCCAGAGGGCCACAGAGCACACAGCAATCCCTTCCCCAGATTAGAAGGCAGACAGCAGTGACTGGAATCAATGATGGCACTTACATTTTTAAGAGCTATTCTTAAGCTATATTTTGCTGACTTACACTCTGTCTGCTGATGCGTAATGCAATCCAACCATCTCTGGCAACTCTGCTCAGTAGTTCCAGCCTGGGAGCGACCTACGTTGAGGCTGAGAATTGATGCTTTGATTGAACAACTGCAATGGATTTCAGGCTGTGCACTGCAGCTTGTGTCTTCACCTTCACAATGCAGAAGGTATTTGCTGCTCAAGATTCCAGAAGATACTGCAGTCCTAACAGCTTAAAATCTAAATCTTCAAGTTTTTGGCATATTTGAAAGACAGTCCTGCTTACCCATGAAAAGCTCGTGTAAATAGCTTAGCAAAATTTCCACAGCCCAACTGAAAACTAGTTTGAATCAGAATTTTTCCAAACTGTAAGCTTTTGGATCAGGTTCATAAGACTCTAAAGAGTTTCTGAGAAACTTTACAGTCTTTCTGTGGAAAAGATTTAGTATCTGTTTCAGCTCTGAGTCAGACAGAGATTATACATATTATACATTATATAATTATACATATGCATTTTATTTACCCCAGCAAAGGCCGCTAGCTTAAGTAAAAAAAGAACACAACTTTTTACTGACATGGTATCATGGAGAAGAAAGAAGTCCTATGAGAGTGGTCCCCTATTAATACCTAATGGTGTAGCACAGGTATTCCTGATCATCTAAAGAGACTTCACAGACTTCTGAGAGGATGTGAACTCACAGAATCATAAAATCTTTTGAGTTGGAAGTGACCACTACAATGCCAACAAGTTCAACTCCCCTGCAATGAACAGGGACACCCACTGCTCTATCAGGTGCTCAGAGCCTTATCCTGTCTGACTTTGATTACCTCCAGGGATGGGGTACCCACCATATCTCTGGGCAGCCTGTGCCAGTGCCTCATGGCCCTTATTATAAAAATCTTCCTTCAAAAATCCAATCTAAATCTCCTCTCTTTTAAAAGTCTGACCATTTAACCTTTTCCCTTTCCACAACAGACCCTGCTAAAGAGTCTGTCCCCTTCTTTCCTGTCGCTCCCCTTTAGATACTGACAGGCTGCCCTCAGCTCTCCCCCTGCCTTCTCTTCTCCATCTGCACAGCCCCAGCTCTCTCAGCCTGTCCTGTAGGAGAGCTGTTCCATCCCTGGCTTCATTTGTGTGGCCCTCCTCTGGACGTGCTCCAACAGCTCCATGTCTCTCCTGTGCTGAGGACTCCACATCTGGACGCAGTGCTCCAGGTGAGGCCTCAGAACAGAGCAGAGGGGCAGGACCACCTCCCTGACCTGCTGGTTGCTCTTCTTTTGGTGCAGCCCAGGACACGATTGGCTTTCTGAGTTGTGAGGGCACATTGTTGGCTCTTGTCCAGCTGCCATCCACAAGTACAACCCAGGTCCTTTTCAGCAGGGCTGTGCTCTACTGTTGAACCTCATGAGGTTCACCTGGGCACACTGCTCAGCCTGCTTAGGTTCCTTTGGATGGCATCCCGTCCCTCAGGCGTCACTGCACCACTCAGCTAGCTGTCATCAGCAAAATTGCTGAGGCTGCACTCAATCCCACTGTCAATATAATTGATGAGGATATTAAAGAACATCAGTCCCAGTACTGCTGTAAGCTGTAGAGTAATATTAATTTTGTCAGAAGATAGATTTTAAAACTGTATTTTGCATCACAGTTTTAGGATTTTCAGGTCAGTGAATACGGCAGTGAAAATATAAGAGAACACACTTTTTGAATAAAATCACTTAAAAGCTGTGTGCTTGGAATATTCAGAGACAAATCCCATATAATAATAGTTTAATGAGGAACTTGTTGATTAGTTTTCTGCAGACATTTCAGTGGGAATCTTCTTCTTCTCTGAAAAGAGAGTTTTGAGTTAAAACCTAGCTTCCTTCCAGTTTTCATGTCAACACGTATATCTGACAGAAAGTGCTTATTATAAACTGAAGTTAGAAATTGCAAGCTAAGAAGCAGTCTTCTAAAATGTACTTCAATTACATAAACATGATTTGCAGAAACAAAGCACTTTGCTTGCTTCCACCCAAATAATGCACAAAGCCTAATCTTGAAAAGAGTCATAAATGACTCAGTCCTGTCATTCATTTCTTTATTCAAAAATAAAACCAAAAGTCCTTTCAAAAGCATTATTAGGTCATAAACGACTACAACTGAAATAGACAATGCTCCTTTGTTTTTCTCTTTCTATATACATTTTTTCTGAGGGACTGACACACTGCTTTAGGCATAAAGCTGCATTTTACTGGGGCCTTGTGACTGAGCAGATGTTCTGTCATTTCGCAAAACAAATACAACAGATTTGAGACATAACTGCCATATATGTGCTTTTTCCAAGAGGTCCTCTTTTTTGAGATAGCATTTATGGTTAATTTTCCTCCACATATGCTCTTTGCTTCCTTCTGAATGCATCTGGCAGTTGCTATTCTTCCTTCTTTACACGTTATCTAGCGTTCATATATTACAGCATAAATAAGCCAAATGAACTTATTTGTCTTAATCTTCTCTGACAGTTTCTTTGGTTTGTTTTTCCCGTTTTCATTTCAGAGAAATCCAGAAGCTCCAGCGCATTATTGCTTTCTAACTTCTTCTGACAGCAGTATAACTCAATGAGGTAGCTTCATGCAACTCCTGGATCCTTTTTTTAGCTGAAGATGGACAGTTAACCTTCTGGAAGAAATGACACCGCCAAGGTCTCCTTCTGCTTGATTTATTCAGGTTCATATAATAACCTTTACTTTAAAAAATCTT